CAGACGTCACCTAAAAAAGTAAAGAGAGTCCGCCTTTGTGTAATTTAATCTCAGTGTAAATCCAGCTGTTCTGAGGAAGCTTCAGACATTTTGTTAGAGGACGAAAACAAAACATCACAAAGACCAAGGAACACCGCAGTGAGGTCAGGGATGAGGTTCTGGAGAGGTTAAAAGCAAGGTCAGGTTATAAAGTGGTAACTCTGGAGGAGCAGCAGAGATCAATGGCTCAGGTGGTTGAAGCTGTGAACATAACAATTGCAAGTTGCACAACCACAAAGCTGACCATTGTGAAAGAAAGGCAGCTGTGACAAGTCCTACTTGGAGTTGGCCACAAACCACATGGGCAACAACGGAAACACTGTGGAAGAGGGAGGACTGATCAGATGAAACCAAAATTAGTTTTTCTTCTTTCTCCCAGGCTTATTTGACTGAATTCGACTTATTTGGCAAATAATAATAAAAAAGAAAAAGAAAACACAGTCTCTAGATTTGCAAAGTTGATAAAGGTATTGCGAAGCAGACTTGCATCTAGTTGGAGTGAAAAGTGAACATGTACATTTTTATAAGCCTCTTCATTTCTCCTGCAGTTCACAGTTATATGCTACTTTGTAGTGGTCTGTCACATTAAATCACAATGTACAACAAAGTTTTGAGTTGGAACTTTACAAAATGGTGTAATGTTCAAGGGGTTCGGAGACAGTAGATTATTAAGCGTTACAGTTTCTAAAAATGAGGCAATTATTGACAGAATATATTTCTAAGCTACGATGGTTTTAAGTTCATGCATGCACTGAGTGCCTCAACATTGTGGTGCACAGGAAGTACTAATTGTGGTTGGCTAAAAATAATAAACAAAGGTTTGATTCTCAGTTTATCAGAAAAAAAAAAAATCATCTTTAAACGGTGCCACGGTGCTGACAGACCGGGTGTTTTCTCACCCAGTAAGACCACCAAGGCTGCAGTTCTAAGGCCACGCTGTCGTAAACGTCTTTGTCAGCAAGAACTCTGTTTACAGTGGGAGAAAAAAAAGGAAACCTTAGTGGGAGCATTCCTCTTGTGTGGTTAGGTCTGACTGTGTGAAGTAATCGCTGTGTTATACTTTGAATTTCCAGCTAACTGAAGGCCTGTGCATCAGTTTGGGGAGGAAATGTGACCAAAGATAAGTGGCTTCTTAATTCCCACAAGATGTCACTATTGCTTAGAAGGATTTTAAACATTCTTCAACTTTGTGTGGACTTTAAAAAAAAAATAATAATAATAAAAATTCTTTATGTTTGACATAAACAATTGATAATACAGACAGAGGTCAAATAAGCGGTTTCTACTTTAGAAAATAATTCAATTCACTTTTTAAGACTGCAGACGAGAAACACGCCACATAAAAATACTGCCTTAAACAGTAACAAAAGTATTTTGCTTAATTTTAAAGTGCTTTTAGCCAGCTAATAGTCAGGTTACTTTTTCCTAAACTTAATTCAGTTTAGAGCTAGTCAGTTGAGCTTTATAGATGGTTTTTGTTGCGTTTTACTCTGATTATGAGCACCTGTACTGTATATAAAGATCTTCCTTCTGCACTTCTTACCAACAGAGCCATTTAACAGATTTGCATGTTATGGAAACGCAAATATATTTCAGTCACTGAAACACGCAAAGTGATGTTTTCAAGGATTTTCTCAATGATAATCATGACGATGTTCTGCTTGGAGCGAATGAAAACATGCAGTTCAGTTTCTCAGAAGAGATTAGAATGTTACATTGATCATATCAATAAAAGTGTGGGACATTTTCTGTCAACTGATCGCTTAAAACATGAGCAGCGGCTGAAACGTGAATGGTTGAGGATGGTGTCAAAAATGTAAAGTGTTTCCTTTAAGTGTTCACATCCTTGAATGAAAGCTTTCACTCCAATACAACGTTCGTCCTTCCTGGATTCATATCTGCCATCAGTTATGTTGAATCTGATTTAGCTAAAACAAAGTTCAAAAGTCACAATGCACAGAAAGATTACAGCGGATCGGTGGGACTTCTTTGTAATCAGTTGGGTAAATGGTTCATAATATTCCACTGCATTACTCACACACTGGCACAACAAAGCAATGTTGGAGGGCAAAAGAACCTCAGGAAGTCCCAAACAGGACTGGTCATGTTCAATGTGTGATATCAATCTTTTATATTCTTTCTTTAGTCACATGAAGAAGAAAAAAATCACAACCTTTAGCAACTTTTCCCAAGTTATTTTAACATACAGATATTGTCAATGTAACACTGATTAATTCAGGTAATAACTAAAACTGAAGAGACAAACTATTTATTTTATCTTTGGGACTGGGACTTCTGGAAAATATTCTTTGGACAGGTGTGTCTCAAACTGAGTTACTTGAACACCAGAATAAAGAACTTATTGATTACTAATTAAGGTTTTATCAGCCGTGAAGCATGAATTACAGTATGTATTGGAGAGTGCTTGAGATTACAGCTTGCAAATGCACTCCGGGGCAATGGAAAACATTTTGGGGACATGTCCTGTGGTTTGATAAAACTGAAGTTAAAGTATTTGACCACAACAGTTATTATTAGTTTAAAGGAAAACAGGAAACTTGCAAGCCTGAGAAAACTGTGATATACAGGGGTGGAAGTATAAAGTTGTGTAGGTGTTTTCTTGCAGGAGGGCTGATACACTTCCCAAAATAGATAGCACAATGAGGAAGAACTTTGTGCGCAAATGACGAAGCAACATCTCCAGATATTACACTTAAAAAAAAATAAAAATAGAATGGAGCTCCAACTTAAAAGAATTGTTTTAATTGGTCACATGTAATGAAATTAACTTTCTTAAACTTACTTAATTTACATTTGTTTAATTTGGCAATATAACGGCCTTAATAAATAAACTTAGATAAACTTAATTTGATTACTTTTGACCTATTAGTGCAATATATTAAAGTTGGATCACCTGTTCTTTTTTTTCAGTGAGTTCAAACTTGTGCACAAATGAGATTTCCAAGTGGACAATTACTCAGAGACCCAAAGAAGTTGATAGTGGAAAGAGCAAACATAGTCAAAGTTTTGGAGTGGCCACCACACTGCCCCGATTACATTTCCATACATATTCTCTGAGCAGATCTCCAAATACATATCAGTGAGACCCGTTTTATGAGGCAGATGAGCAAAAATGACAACAAACTACAGTTACCTGCAAGGATACCCAAAATTTGACCCAAGTCACACAAATTAAAGGGCAATTATACCACATATTTTAAATTTGCTTCCATATTCCAGAAAAAATAAGTGAAAAATGAGTGTTCATTCAATTATTGTTAATTTTGGTAATGCTAACTGTCCTAAAACAGGAAAAGTCCTATATGATTTTATGTGAGTCAATGAGAAAAAGTTATTAGGTTAGATTTTGTGGTGTTTAGATATTATTTAACTATTGTTGCTTGATTTCTGTTGCATTTTCTTGCCTTGAAAACGTGCATGATTTATTCACACATACTCATTTTTGGCTTTGCAGTCATTAAATTGTCCTTAAGTTGATATTTTCTTTGTTAACCTAAATTCTTAAAATATCTATTAAGTGAATTGAAAAAAATACACTAAATAAAATATATATAGGCTCATAAGTTTGTTTTGAATGGAAAATCATGACAAGAGAACTTTTCAGTAGACTTAATAATAAGTCAAAGCATGTAAATTGAATAAACAAGCATTGACAAACTATCGCATCGTAGGCAAAATTTTACTTCTGCTGACATTATTTTTTATTTTTAAGTCAGTCAACATGATTTATTACTATGCTTATTATCTAAGACTAGGTCACACAGTGATGTGCATTCATACTCATCACATCTTTTCATGCCATAAACACAAACTTCAATGCTTTTTCCCTTGTTGTTATGTTACAAACTAACATAACGCAGCAAGTTTTGATATTCCATTACAAAAATGAAAAATAATTGTTGTTTATTTGTACTCAGCTCGTCTGAGTCAAGATGTATATATTTTGGCGTACATCTCTGCCAGCGCTGTACCTCTATAAAACTAAAATGTTGCCCTTTCCTCTTTGCAGAATAGATCAGCGTCAGTAACTTTATTTTTGACCTGTCATGCTTGTTTGTCAGTTTTCATGATGCCGTTTGTGAACTTGTATACACCAACTAATCTCTGAGGTCTTCAACAGAACAGGAGGACTCTAGGTGATTTCTGAAAGTTGTGCTGGGTTTTATTTATGGATATTACAGTGAAGTGGGCTGAATAGGCTCTTATTTGAAAAAGAAAATCACTCATCATTCAACGTAATTTTGTGGTTAAACTCTGACAAAATGTGGAAAAGGTATGTGAATACCTGCACTTTGAACATTTTTGACAGGTTATTCAACCATCCAACAAAGTAAACAAACAGTATATATTTATAGTTGTTTTCCAAAGTTTAAACTTAAACATTATGAGCAACTATTATTCGATTCTTAAAAATTTTCCAAGCTGGCCGTGTTAACGTGCAGTGAAGACTCATTGCTATCTTGATCTAGGTCTTCTTACCCTCATGGTTCAGAGGAAATATGTGATGCAACAACAGAAACCCCCATCAGCCCCTCTGAATTTATCAATGGAGAATAGAGCAATTCAGCGAAAACGGTCGGGTTTGTCCCTGTTCTAAAATAAGTTACATTCTGAGGGTTAAAAAAGAGTATGGGAATTGTTTAAATTGCAATCATTTCCTTTCATGAGAAATGTTAATCATTTTTGGGGACCTGTTTTACTTCACTTTCTGTTATGTCAGCCATTTTTGAAACGAGTGGGCACTGGTTTTGTACGTATTTATCAACACATCACGAAGACAGGGTAAGCGGTTCTCAATAATTAAAGATTACCTGATTAAATGTGGAATTGAGCAATGCTTTTTGCCTCTGTGTTTACATCACGGTCAACGACTCCGCTTAGAACGCGGATCTGCCCTCTGATTGGTCCGTTTGGCTGTCAATCACTGCTGTTTACATCAAACGTCGCTAGGTGGAATTTCCCAGGTTACGGCATAGACTAAGTAGACTACTTCCGCAGTAGATGTCTGTCTAGCCACAGAGACGAGAGGCCACAGCAAGCTGAAAGGTACCAAACCAAAAAAAACCCTCTTTGTTCGTTTTTTTCGGTTCGTCGTGTTGCTCCTCTTTCCGACTTACTTTCCGCGCCGACAGGAGCCCGTCTAGTGTAGAAATATCGGACTTTAAAGGGCTTCCTGTCCCGCATTGTAGCCAAAAGCTAACGAAGATGTCGTTAGCAATTTGCATGACAACAGCGAAAACTAATATTAGCCTTCTTCAGCCAATCAAGGTAGCTATCATCAACCGGATTGGGCTGTATTTTAGGCTCGAGTGTTAAATAAGTGTTTAATATTAGAATTATCGTTATTTTTTACGTATTTCCTCCCTCTGCTTTTGTCTTTCTTCCTTGCTTATGAGCGTTGTGGTTGTATTATTTAGCCCTCTGGAACGCCAGCACTCTCTCCCTAAATGTGTCACCCCTGTTAGTGAAGCATTAAGGTGGGTAGCTTGCTGCTTTTGTTGTCACTCAGGCGGTCGTTTCTGTATCAGGCATCAGCGATGGGTTTTTCACACTTACTGCTAGAAACTAGAAGTTAAAAACGTGGGCTTTCTGTGGGCTTTTGAGTGGGTGTCTTGAACCATCTGCAAATTACTTTCTGAGATTTTTGAGGGGCTGTTATATGTGGATACCCAGCTTTTTGGAAAATGATCAATAACTGATATAATCAGTGTTTCAGCAGCTGTTCTGGAGAAATACATAAGAATCAGTCCTAGCTGTATTGTTTTATGTAAACACTGGACGTCAGTGTAGATATGTGTAATCAGAACTCTACTATGTATAGATCTTTTTTCTTCTGTTGAGCTTTTTTGTGAGCTTTATTTTTATTTTTTTTCACATAAAATTAAAACAGTTTTCCCTTTTCCCACAGTTCAGAAGATCATGTTTAGTAAGTGAACGACGGCGATGGAAGGGAAAGGTCCGTATCGCATCTACGATCCTGGTGGGAGTGAGGTCAAGGCCAGGGATGAGGTCGTGGGGGGCAGCAGCTATCGCCAGCTGCTGGAGGAGAACAGCATGCTGAGGGAACGGATGAAGGGACTTAAGAGCTTAGGTAGGTTCCACATCAGAGCTTGTTTCTGATGTCTGGGAAATGAGGATGACACATCTCTGCTGAGTGCTAGGGATTATCATTTTCTTCGTGTTATCTATGGAACAGAAAACAGAAAATGATTTGAAGAATACCTCTCCCGTAGCAGTCTGCATGCCTTCACTTTCACAAAAATGAAACGGTTGTGAAACGAGGGTTATTACATATTGTAAAACTTGAAAAACTTCCTAGGTTATCGTTGGACATGGTTGCATACCAGCAGTGTGATTGGACTTTGACTCACCAAGGATGTGTCTTTATTTCCCTCGGAACATCTGTCATGTCCTATTTACTGACTGCTCCTGCTTGTGAAAAATACTCATCTGAAGCGTCGTCTTAGACTGTGACGACGGGATTTCTAACGATGTTGCAGGTGATCTTTTGGAAGAATCCCAGTCGGAGGCTTCAAAGCTTCGGCAGCGGGTGGAGGAGCTGGTGAGGGACAACGAAGCTTTAAAGTCGGCCAGCTACGCCGCCAGTCTGTGTGCGGGAGCGCCGGTTCACACCGAGGCTCAAAGTAAGTCCCGCAGATTTCATCCAAATGAGGAATTTAACTTGGTATCCAACTCGGGCGTGATAACCAGTTAAATGGATATTGCGATTTAGCTTGTTGCCTTGGTTGATTTCAGGCAAACCCTGTTTACACCCCACTGCAGAGAAGGAGGAGCAATCAAGCTGTTTAGGGAGAACACTTCAGCCAGAGAAGCCCCATGTACGTACTGAGTTTTATCTAATGTGACGTGTGTGTGTGTATGTGTGACGTTTTTGAATTGGTGACGGATATCAGCCCTTTTTGGTCTTTACAGGAGGCCTTATTGGAATCCGAGAGGGTGAACATGGAAGGAAGGAACTCTGATGCTTTGGCTGTATGTACCAAAAATAAAAACTACCCCTGAAGTTTTTTCTTTTTTTTTTTTTTTTTCCAAGCAGTTTTTCAGATCAGATGATCCTCTTGCTTTGACTTCAGCATAAATTATTTTCTGTGGCTTTTGAGGCTAAATTCAGGATTTCCTCTGTATAGCAATTTCCTCAAAATTAGGAATACATCAGCGGTGCATTGACTCACCTACGAACACAATACTGGCAGCTCCATCTGAGTCAGTGAAGGGGAAATTCCAGGATTATTACGGACTAGAATTACTCAGATTCATTCACGCTTTACATCCTTGGACATGGGACTCCTTTTATATTTTAGGCTAAAGTAGTATTTTAGTTCACCTTTCTTAAATTTTAGCACATAAAAATAACATTTTTATGTGCTAAAAGCTGAAAGTACTCTCTTGAGTACTAAATTTAAATCCACCAGGTCAAACTGGTTTGACTTTTCAGAGTATTTAGCATCTGCTTTCCATAGAAATAAAGCAGAGTATTTATGTTGTACAGCAGGCTTTGTGCGGTCTCGAATAAATATGTAAAAGATGGCCTCGCCTACTCATCTCTGACTTTCCACCTGTGTGGCTCTCTCCAGGCGGGGTTGGTGGCAGGAGCGCTTCCCCAGCTTCCTCAGGAGAACAACGAGCTGGCGAGCCAGCTGAAGCGGCTGGAGAGCTCTTTCAGCATATTTGCAGAGGAGTCGAACCCAAACCAGCTGCTGGCTCACCTCGGCCGCATGGCGGTGGAGTTTCACCATCTCTCCTCGAAGGTCCAGAAGAACGAACAGAGGACCTCTCTCCTACAGGTATGAAGCCTGGAAAGTTAATTGGCACATTTCGGATGTCATTGTGAACCTTTTCTGGTAATTTTTTTTTTTTTAAATCTTGAACGTTACCTTAAGAGTTGTGAAACAGCAGTATTTTAACGAGTTAGTAACTTGTGAGATCTGTTTTAGAAGCAAATGTACACTTTGTCAGCGAATTTTAGCAAATTGGTTCACTTGCAGTTTTAGTTTAGTGTACATTGTTCATTAGAAACTTTCACTCTGACATTTGTAACAATAGAGCATTACAGGTGAGCAACTTTTTGCACATGACTAACCTGTTTTGCCTAATCCTCTTATTTGGCATAAAATAATAAAGACTTTCCAGTAACGATTAAATAACTTAATTTCTAAATTTATCGCTATGAATAGGAGGCGTGTCACATATTATTCATTTGAAAGCTTTGAATTCTGCATTTGCTACTGATGCGTCCTTAAAAAGAATGGTATTTATTGAAAGAAAATGAGAACAAGGTTTTTGGTAGGTTCTTAAAGTATTATATTTAATTTTTTGTATTTTAGGGCTGTAAGAAGGCTGAAATATATTTTCTATGATGGTTCTTAAATTTTATTACCTTTAGTTACATCTTACATTTTTATGGTTGCTCATTTATTGCTTGCCACTTCAAATGACTTCTTTTTAAATTTTTTCCAGTAAGTTAGTTTCTGCTGAAACTGATTTACTGAAACTCTGCCGTTGCATTACTTAGTGCTAGCTCATCAAACTGGATGCATTTCACAAGGTTTAGCTTCAAAATAAGGATTTCAATGGTAAACATTTTATTAAGCTTAATATTTACTACAACAATGCATCAATGTAAAGAACGCTAGGTGTAAAAGCAGTAGCCTCAGGTCAAAAAACATCAAAATAAGTCTATGCAGTCATATTTAATTTAACTTATTTACAGAGTTAAATGTGCTTTATAACACACTTATGTTATTTTCTTATGTTGTTCTGAGGTGTAAATTATCTGCTCTTAAATGTACCTGGTTGAAGCTGGCAGCAACCCCAAAGAAGTTTTAACCTAAAAAATTTCATTTTCTGATAAATTGTGCTTTATAAATATGCAAGTCAACACCACTGTATTTATATATATATATATATATATATTTTTTTTTTTTTATTTTTATTTCTGCATTGTTTTTAAAAAGCAGGAACTTTTGGGTTAAAAAAAAAAAATCCAGTACCAGTGTACAGACTGGTGGTTAATATTGCAATAAATGTGGGTCTTCTGGTCTCTTTGGTTTTCTAGACGCTGTGTGAGCAGCTCAGACAGGAAAACAATGAGCTTCGAAAGAAAATGGAAGAAGATCATCATATCAGGAATCGAGACTTGGAGCAGCTGAGGTAATGTTTCTCCGTCTCTTTCAGCTTCGCTGGACTTTTGTATTTCCTCAGTTGAGCAGAAAGCCCTTTGTCTGGCTGGTTGAATGAATACCATGTGAGGTCGCGTCGCACGTTACGTCACCTACTGTCATTTTTGTGCACTAAACCTCCCTGCAAGTTGTGAAAACGGCTTCCTGTCTGTTTTGATTTTGTGACTCTACACGTTCTGCAGTTACGCTTTGGTTGCTGCAGGACCACGCTTTCACTTCTGATGGGGAATTATTTGTGTGCTTTCTGTTTGTGTCCCCCTCTGGGTCTTGTAGGTTCTTCCCAAAGGACATGACTGAGAAGGGTCACAGTCTAGGAAAAAACTGGACTCTGTTCAGAAACATTATCATTTTCACTTTGTTGCTTACTTAGACTGGAGAATCAGAAACTGAAGGAGCTGGTCACGGGAGGAACAGCAGTGGTGTCGACTGCTTCACCGTCAGAAACAGAGACTCCAGAGGCCAAAGACGAGCCGGTTAAGGAGGAATCTCCGGCTGTTCGACCTAAAATGGAGGCCACCACACCACAGAAGGTACATTTAAATCAAGGACATAAATTGCGCTTATTATTTACGATTTTTTTTTCTACTTTTTTCCTCATATTTCCTTTTGGAAATACGGTTAGCAGACAAATTCAGTGAGTCTATAACATAACTTCCTCTTATAGGTGCTCATGTAATCATGGATTTTTGTGGAATGAGGAAAATGTTTGTGTATGTGTCCCCAGAGTGGAAAATCAGCAGAGAAAACCCCAGCTAAAGCATGTGACATAGAGGTGTACGAAAAGAAGATCAAGCTTTTGGAGAAGCAGAGAAAGGATGTGAGTCTTCGCTTACTTACTTACTTTTTTTTTTTTTTTAAAGAAAATAGCTGCCCATCCTCTTTTGCCATTGGGGAAAGTCTCTGTGCTCTTTGTTTCCTACATGTTCATTGTTTGTTTGTTTCGCTTTCTGGCGCTGCTCACAGGTTCTGGAGGTGAACAAGCAGTGGGACATTCAGTGGAACGCCATGAAGTCACAGTTTGAGCAGAAGGTACAGTAATGACTTTACGGCTGCCATGAACGGTGTGGGAAGACGTCTGATCGACTTTTAGACCGCTCGAATGCAAGTTACCGTGAAAAATATGTTTACATATATATTACAAACACAAAAAAAAGAAAAAAAGAAAACAATCTGACACATTTGATGACATAATACACTTTTCGTTTTGTGTAAAGATTTTTTTTTTTGGCTCTTTATAAAAGTTTAGAGGAAAAATCATAAAAGACTAATAAAAAAATGTAGAAATGCAACAGAACTGACAACAAAATATATCTGAGTTTATAATAAGCTTTTTTAAGCGTGTTAAATTCAGTTTCCCACTGTATTCTGAGTTAGAGGTGGCTTCACGTGTTGTCTGATGGTTTGTGTCTGTCTCATTTGTTTCCAAACTGCTGGTTCTGCTACCAAAGAAGGAAGGAGACCATTTTTGCATTTTCCCCAGAAAACAGTTGAAGCCCTCGTTCAGTTTTACCATTGAAATCATTTGTTTGTTTTTCTTTTTAAATCGGTGACAGTTTTTAGGCCAACTGCAGGGAAACTTACGACTCTGAAGTGTGTGCGCAAACAGTTGGCAGTGAAGTGAAGCAATTACATGCTTGTCCTTTTTTCTTTTTTTTTTTTTTTTTTTTTTTTTTTAAATGTGCTTGTCCAGTGGAAAAGGTGCAATCTTGCAATAGCTTGCTATTTGAGCATACTTACCACAAGGCCTGTCACACTTCAGCAAGAATTCCCCTCACCTCTCCGGTACCCGCTGACTTCCTGCTGTGGTGCAGTCAGAGGGCAGCAGCGACACACGGATGTACACACACTGTCTCACAACGGCGCTCACACACCTGCGTTTGTGCACGCCCGCAGCCTTGAACATACCGACATTCACACTCTGCAGAGACGGGGACACCATGCAGGCTTAGGTTTAAACCGCAGAACCCCAGATATATCCATTTGCGTCACTACGGTTCGTTCATATTTTATACAGAGATAGAACTGCGTGTTCGCAAATGTGTCCTTTTTGCGGCTTGGTTTGTAATTTGATAACGTACATTTCCTAAATGCTCTGTTTCAACAGAGGCACCAGCAGATGTTTATCTTTACCAAAGTTCTTATCTTCCAAGTTTTTCTTTTTCTTTTTTTCCATTTTATGCATTTTTCTTTTTTTTTTTTTCTTTTATGTTGCGTATGCAGTTTTTGTACACGATTTGTGTGTCGAGTGTTCTTGAGACGCATGTTTTAAACTCTTCCTTAGATCACAGACCTCAGGCAACGTCTGGCCGAGTCCCAGAAAACCGTGCTGGAGCTGGAGGCCGAGCGAGAGCAGAGGCAGCGCGACTACGACAAGAAACTGCTGCTGGCCAAGTCCAAGATCGAGAACGTACAGGTGAGGATGGAGAGACACAAAACCCACTCGTGTTATAAAAAAATATCTGAATAATCAAGAATATAAGAGACTGAACAAAGTGCCACTGGCTTTGTTTGTTTCAGGGCGAGAAGGAGTGTTTAAACTCTGAAACAACTGAGCTGAAGCAGAAGGTTCGCTACCTGCAGGATCAGCTGCTGCCCCTCAGTAAGCAGAGGGAATACCAGGAGAAAGAGATCCAACGCCTTAACAGGGTGAGCAAAAGGAGAAACAAATTCAACTCAAACTCAGTTTCACTTGTTTTTTTGTTTTTTTTTAAAACGTTCACTGTCTTTTTTTTTTTCTCCAGGCCTTGGAGGAAGCCTTGAACTTGCATTCCCCCTCAGCCTCTCAGCAACCTCCTGGACCGGGGAACTTTGCAGATGCAGCCAATAACCTGAAAAAACAGGAGCTGCTCACACAAATTGCTGTACTAAAAGAACAGGCAAGAAGCCCATCACAAAATATGAACAGTCATGCTTTAAAGCTGAATCGTTCCCACTCCGTATGTCTCAATCTTGGCTCCAAACCATGTTTTCTAAGGCCCAGAGCGTCCATGTTTGTTTTAGTGGAAAAGAGAAAAATTAAACAATTATTTTTAACACATAGGGTTAGGAGCTGCTTTTGGAAAAACGTTATACAACTTATCTGCTTTTTTTCTCCCCGTCATATTTTAATAGCACACTGCGCTCTTTAATTTGTCCCCCATATCGATCAACATCAAAAAACGAAGACAAAATATTTCGGAACAATTTTAAGTAGTGTCTTGTTTTTACTTTTAATCCTAAGTAAATTAATAAATTTTCTGTGTCTGCTCGACAACTGCCACTAAAACAAAATGAACGGATATCCTTGGGTTGTGATATTTTGATGCATTACTTCCAGTCAGACAAATCATCAACACTCCTACAGTGTACAACTTAAAGTTTGATAGTTTGGAACAAAGTTACCATTATAACATTGAGCTAAAATCTAAATACATGTTTTTTTTCTTCCTTATCAAGGAATATGTTTGGTTAAATTTCATATTGTTTTTTTAAACCTCACTCAACCATCATACCAACTTTTAAAAAAAATAAATGCATAAAAATAGGGTGTCCCAGTTGTTTCTGTGGAGTAATTTTTATTGTTGTTTTTTTGTGTTTGTTTTGGATTAACTTTACACTGTATGTAAAGTTTATACTTTATTTCTTGTTAATAATATTGGGTGCTAAATAATTTTTAAAAACAATACAGTGGATTTTTTTTAAGAGTACATTTGATATTATGGTTTTGTTCTATCCTCTGTGCAATAAGCCTAGGAAACAGGATTCAACATAAAGATGCCTCTCTTTCAGAGAATTGTGTGTATTTTATTTTATTTTTTAACTTCAGGTGAAAATCTTCGAGGAAGACTTTAGGAAAGAAAGAAGTGACAGGGAGCGAATGAATGAGGAGAAAGAGGATCTGAGGCGGCAAGTTGAGAGGCTCCAGGGTCAGATTACCAATTTGACCAATCAAGTAAGAATCATTTTGTTTGGCGTTTTTTAACACCTTAGAAAGATTTTGCATTTAAATGATGCAGTACAATACTATTTCATCTTAATGAGAGCTAATTTCTACATGTTTTCCTGTTTTGTGTTTGTGTGATCCAGCTACATCAGGCTCAGAACGAGTGTCAGAGAGAACGAACTGAGAGATGTAAGCTGGAGAGACTGCAGATGCAGCATCACAAACAGGTACTGGCTGCTGAGCTTCATAGTATTACAGCTTCATTAAAATGCTTCATACAGTAACAGGTTATGTTAGGCTAATTGCTAAATCAAGGTGGTCATTGGTCATGTCTTTCAGTAATAAATAAGTAAAGTAATAATAATAAAAAAAACTTGTAGACCAGTGCCCCCTTGTGGCTGGAAAGAGTCAGATGCAAGAACTTCAATAAGTTGATTTAAAAACAACAACCACCTGCTTTTTGTTAGTTGTCCAGTGCATTTGGGATCAGCAGGTGCAGCAGGGTTGAGGGTCTGCAGCGGGGCCATGCATGACGTTTACATGGACCGCTGCAGGCGTTACACGGATTGGAGATCACATTTGTACTTATGACACCTCATAGGGGCAGCAGCAGGAAAGACGTACCTCAGACCCCACGTCGGGCTCAGTGAACGGCCCGCTGAGCCCTCCCTACTGTGGTCCCTTTGTGCAGGTGGGAACGCAGGGCCTGGAGGGCTGGCCCATTCACTTCCCTCCCCGGATGCCCAACGCAGCGGGCGCCACGGCAGCAGCCACCACCGCCGCCGCAGCAGCAGCAGCAGCACCGCCCCCAGCTCGAGACTTCCAACCTGTTACCCCGGTAAGGGAGCGCTAAACCCCCCTGTCTCTCTCCCTCTTACCCTAAGTTTCTTGTGAGGATCAACTTAAGGATTGCTGCTTCAGGTGTGGAATATTTTTGTTTTTAATCTTAAATTGTGTTTGGTCAGGGTTTTCCTTGGCAGATGTCATTCCCTCAACCACGAGGGGCCAGAGCAGTAGGAGAGAGCTCAAGACCGCCACCAGAGAATGCAGGTGAAGGGCATGCTCACATTTTCTTTGGCTCAAAATGCTTTATATGTGAAGTATTTTAAGTCAATTCTCCATCTACTATGCGAAACATCTGTTGTGCCTTGCAAAAAACCTTCGATGTTAAAATCACAAAGTTTTCTAATTCTTTTTATTTTATGTGATACACCAGCAAAAAAACGCGTATAATATTATATATATATATATATATATATATATATATACACACACACACTTTTATAAATAAAAATCTGAAAAGTGTGGCATGCATTTGTATTTAGCTCAATTTAATCAGATGTACGGTGGAATGGTTTTGATCAAATTGTGTGTGTGTGTGTGTGTGTGTGTGTGTGTGTGTGTGTGTGTGTGTGTGTGTGTGTGTGTGCTAGAATGGCTTAGTCAAAGTTCAGAACTCTAAGTTGAACTTAGAGTTCTGAACTTTCAGAATTTCTGCCAACACTTTAATGTTGATCAGAGGTTCTCCATTTAAACTGAATGAGTCTAAGCTGTTTTGTAAAGGTAAAATTTACAAGTATTTTATGCAAGTATTTTGGTGTTTGAATGTGCAAAACTGGTACAAAAAAAAAAAAAAAACTCCAAAAAATCTTGCAGTTTTAATTTAATATTAAAATACCTCATTTTTATATTTACCTACTAAGCCGCAGTGACACATTGCAGTTTGGTTGTAATGTCATGAACTACAAGGGGTATGAACGCTATATGAATTTAACCTGTTGCAAAAAAAAAAAAATGTTTTAAACACTAAAAGAACTGGAGAAGTGAACTTTAAGTCAGACCTGGTCTTGTGGGTCGACGGTAATGAATCTTTTTGTTTCTGTTTGTTCCCTTGCAGACCAGTCAACAGCAGCCACAGCGACAGGGTTTGGCAAAAGGGAGAGACAGAACATCGACCCCGGAAAGCACTAAAGCATCACCGTACCCATCTGATGGAGTCTGGGTAGTAGCATGAAACTGTCTTTGAGTTGACAAGGTGTGATTGAGATATAATTTTCCTACTGAACTGTAGATATCCTATTGTAATGTTGTTTATACTTGCGTTTTATAAGGCTATTTGTGAAACACTTCGCTATTCTGAATATATATAAATATATATACATATTATTTAGATTTTTTTATCTGGAACTGAAGTCCTTTTGTTAAATGAGTTTGAATAATTATCATTGCTTTCTTTTTTATTTTTTATTTTTTTTCCCTTCTGCAAAATATACCTATGTAATTGTCTCTCTGCAAGTATGTAACACCTTAACACTTTGATTAACTTGTAGGGTTACTGGAAGCCATTCCCCAAAAGCAAATAGGACAACACGTGCTCATTTCCAGCGCTGAATGATTATATAGGTACAATGAATCATAGAAGTAAAAACAATGTGAATGTTAATTGATTTTATGAGGATTTCTACAGTGCCATCGATGTTCTAGAAATGTCTAATATGTGTAACTGTTCAAAAGTGGTTGTTGAAATACAAAAATTTGAGGAAATGAATTTTGATACCAAAAAACCAAAAAACATGATTGTGATTACTAATAATTTATTTATAACCTGCTGTTTTGATAGTTGCATTTACTGAGTGTAAATCATTGTCTTTAGTAATGCTGTTCTTTCTATGTTGTTAGTGTAATCCCAATATATTGTAGCTATTGACATTGTATGTTTGTATCAGACACAATACACAATGCACATTACTTAAACATCTTTTTTTTCCATGATGATGGACCTAATCTCATTAAACGACACTTCTACTTGGTTTTACCACGCATTCTGATATCTATGCTCATTTTTACTGCATCCTGTACCATTTTTACTGTAGCCCCAACACACAGTTGCAAACAGAGCTTCAAAATCTTAAGGCAGCAGGTGTGATTAAAGTCCTATTCGTACAACAACTTGCATATTGCAGCTCTGCTCCTCGGAGGAAAAAAAAAAAAAAACCTTGTCCAGGATGTCTTGACGACGCTTTCAGTCCCAATTGACAACCAGCAATTGATGCCAAGGGGATTCGCCTGCAAGGTCAGAAGACCTCATGAGTCTTCTGACTCATGAGGTCAATGTAAAACAATGTAAAATATGTTTTACATTTTTTTTTAGATGTGGTCAAGCCAATCTCAAAGTGGTTTTACCTCAGCACCAGTTATTTCCTTAGTATAAAGTATTTCAAGTAGTTAGACGAAGGGCTTCAAATTGTGCGGGACGGGACTTTGGCTCAGTTTTTTTGTGAAATGAGTTTGTAAGTTTGCGGGGAACAAAAATTTTTGATGGGTGAGAACTGAGACATCAGCAGAGTTGCACTTTGAAAGGTATGCTGTAATTTCTGGCAGGTGTATTTTTCTGGTTTATGGCGTTCTTTTTTTTCTTTCATTTTGCTGTTGGCAAAAAGCACATGTGAGACTTTTTGTATTTGACTGGCTTAATAAATCTATTCTAAATGTCTTATTCACATTTTGTCTTTGTACTGCCGCAGGCCAGAGTATTTAAAACTGTTGTGCTGTTGAAGAAAAGTCTGCACATCATGGTGGCTTTCTTAATGATTTATTGAAGCTTAAAAAGAAAGGGGAAAAAAAAACAACAGATTTTGCTGTAATGGCAAACAGTTTCTGGGGATGAGAAGATGCCATGGTGCTGTGGGATTGCAGGGCAGCTCGAATGCACTGAAAAGCTTTCCTGCACCCCCAGACTCGGAGAAGGCACCACAGAGTTCCTGTTTTCAAGCCTCCTCTTCATTCTACATGCCATCTTCACGTATCAGAAACTGTCACATCACCATCCGATCTGCTACCTTACATCTCCTATGCGTGGACTACTGCTACATCACTTAAAGCGACAAACTTAAGCACCTATCACTCTTAATTCTGCGTGTAGAGTCGAATAAGGTAATTGCGGATGTCCGTTCGGACCGTAGACATGTTGACACGCGGGTGCCATCTCATCACCGCTTTTCCGTTGGGCCCCACCAGAAACTTCTCAAAGTTCCACTTGATGTCGTTGATCCTAAGAGGCTCCCAGAAGAGCCTGCCGTAAGGGGCGCCAAAGTCGTCCCCGACCGGAGGGCAGGAGCGCTGGAACGGCAGAACGTTGAGTGAATCAATCGTGAACGCAAGAGAGAAAAATTAGAGGTTTCACGTAGCGCGTTTGCTGTGCTGCACAGCAGGAAGTGGGACTTCTTGTGGTGTTCTTTTAACAATGGCTTTCTTTTTGCCACTTCTCCATAAAGGGCAGATTTGCATTTCAGATGATGGAATCAACAGTCCTCAGTGACCCAAGCTTGGGTTTTTGTTTTAAAAGCCAATGCTGCTTTGATTAAATCCCTGACCTGCTGTGTGTTGTGTTTCTTGATCTTTAAGTTGTTCCTTCAAGAATGTTCTTTTACCAAACCTCTGAAGCCTTCATATATTTACTTATACCAAGATTGAATTTCACATTGGCTACTTTATTTACCTAAATACCTTTAAATGGATGACTTCCAAAGACAGCTGGGTTGTACTGGGATTTATTTAGGGCTTTTATGGTAAAGGAGTTTAATACAAATCATCTTCAGTTGCAAAACAGTAAAATAAAGTTCTGTACAGTGAAGCATGTGGTAATTTAGCCATTGTAGTAAGCAAGAATAGCTAGTTGTATAACAATATCTCTGAATGTTAAGTAGTGAGCTATTCAAGGAGCCTAGAGATTGGAATGCAGGATTCACAACTCAAAGTTTTTTTTTTCCACTTTAATTTTAAAACCTGGGACTTACCTTGAGGAACGTGAAAACCCGCTGCTCGCTCTTGCCATTCACATCGCCCTTCTCCATCAGCAGGAAGTTTGGAACGAATCCGTTGCCTGGTCTGACGTACCTGGCATCCAGAAAGAAAGAGTCTTATCAGTGGTCGCGGCTCGCAGCTCTTTGCAGTTTGGCAGCTGCTCAAAAAAAATCCCTCAGGCTGTTAAGCTCCGAGATGTTATTCCAAAAACCAGTAATGATTTGTGGAACTGCAGACATAGTTTCAACGTGTGCAACAAAAATAAAAAACAGGGTCAAAAATAAGAAAGTTATTGAATTACTCTCTTGATTACGTAAAGTTTGATTGATAGAGGTTTTGCCAAACTTCAGGAATTTCTCTGCACATCCAGCTAGTGTTACGATCGCTTACGTAAATGTCTTTACTAAACTATAATTTAAGGGATTCTCACATTTTGACACTGTTATTTTCCTGGATTCAAAGTTCCTTTTACACAGCAGTTTGAGGAAACAAAACTTTCACCTGATGGCATTTACTTCAAACTTCTCTATCAGCTTTACACAATGTTCCTCTTTGTGACTGCCTCAAGTTAGACCTGCACAAAAAAAAAAGAAAGTGGAAGAGTTTTCTTACTTTAAGCCTGAGAGGATTTCGCTTCTCGTCCCCGGCTCCTGTTTGCCAAACTGGTTGCAGGGAAAGCCCAGAATAGTGAGACCGAGGGGTTTCAGCTCCTCGTGCAGTGCATTCAGTTCTGAAAGGAAACGCCAGGAACAAAAAAAAAAAAAAAAAGAACAAAAAAGATTTCAGACGGCGAATGGAGTAATGCTCCAATAACAAAGTCGACAGTGTGCAGCTGCTTACCTACATACTGGAAAGTCAATCCTCAGTATGTAGCGACATTGACAAAGAGGACACTCTTGCCGGCGAAGTCGCTGAAGTTCACGATGCGACTTCCATTCAGAGTCCTTGCGTTGTATTGGTAGATGGTGCCAGCAGTGGACGAGTCACACCTCTGTGGGTACAGACACGAGGTTAAAAAGTGTTTTGGCCAGAACATCAAGTACTTCTAACAAAGGTACATCTGCGTCACCCGCTGCTGCTAGTATTGATTTGTTTTCGTTACGTGTTACGCAAATATATATATTTGTGTATATATATATATATATATATATATATATATATAGACCTCATGACACAGCACAGGATCAAAGTGTTGGAAATATGTTGGAAGAAACAGATAAAAGGCCACAGAAGCAGGAGCAGCGCTTAAGGCCTTACGAGAAGACGGGCGGGTTTCATTGTATTGTGAAGGTTCATGACCAAAAACTCGGCTCGTTTGCTAGCTGAGTTTTTGTTTGTCCCCTCTTCCTCTTAGCAGTTTGCAAACTCTGTTAGTAGAAAACACCCAATTTTTGTAATAAAAGAGGTGTAGCGGTGGATGAGAGCTGCTGCGTGAGGTGGACACTGTAACTCACGTTCCTCTCTTCATCGCGAGAAATGGTTAATCACTTGTCTCTCTCTTCTTTTTATTTGTGTCAAAGTGTTGTTTTTTTCAGATTACTTGAACCTGACGTTTACCCTAACCGGGTTCGTTTTAAAAGGATCATAAATGAATCACAATGTCTGGCGACAGTATTCATGACACCCTTTTATTTATCCCTCTTCTTTAAAAATGTCCTCAGGATCAGTCAGGTCAGACTGGGAGCATTTATGAACAATATTTTCAAGCTAATTAGACTTTGACTAGGTCCTTTGAGCACAAGAACACGCATTGATCCAAACCGTTCCATTGTAGCTCTGGCTGTTTGGTTTGGAAACAGCCAGAGATGGAAGGTGAAACTTTGGCCAGTCTTTTGCAGTCTCTTAACTGGTTTTCTTCCAGTATTGCTCTGTATTTAGCTCCATCCATTTTCCCCCATCAACTATGACCTACTTCCCTGTCCCTGTTGGGGAAGAGAAATCATTCCTACAGTATGATGCTGTCACCATGTGTCACTGTGTTACTACTGACCCTCCAGGAGCACTGGATTTTATTGAAGGGTTAATACATGCCACACTTTTGAATTTTATTCTCCAAACCGTTAAGCATGTAAAGCATTCATGACTTAAAATGTTGCTTATGCTCGGGGTGTGTTACCTTAACAACACAGGAGATCTAAAGGCCCGAACTATTACATGAATTATGACGCTTATTGATCTAATGAGCTCTGCTTTAACAAGACCACCAGCAAGAAGAGCAAAAACCTTCATCTTGATGGATCTCTTGACATCGTAATGTCTTAAGTTTCATCAGGACAGATGGTTCCTTTCTGGTCTGACTTACCATTACATACTGACTAATTTCTTATTTATCCGTTCACCTGGCTGCCAGGCAAATTTCCCTGTGGCGACAACCACGAAATAAAAAGCGAAGTGAAATGTGTTTCCCCTTTCGTATGTCTATTGTTTTGTGGACTGGAGTTTCCCCCTACTGCCAGCTGTCCCAGTGCAAAATAAGTCCAGAGTCAACAGGAACTTTGCTCCATTACAAAAAAGAGGCACAGCCTTTAACCAAAACATCTTAAATAATCCACTTGAAAACAATCTTTTCAAGGTCTTGCAGCTCGCTGTTGATGATATCTTTCTTCAAAGCTAATTCATATGAGAGAGAGAGACATGAAAAATAGAGATTTTTGTGGTCAGAATGTTTTATGTTCTTTTGATGATTAGAAAAACATAATTATGCAAACTGTACTAATATAGTTTAACAATCGCAAACACGCTATACCGATAAAATAAATTGGTATTTTGATAGGTGCTGGCATTTATGCCATCTAATGTACTAATATAGTTTAACAATCGCAAACACGCTATACCGATAAAATAAATTGGTATTTTGATAGGTGCTGGCATTTATGCCATCTAATGTACTAATATAGTTTAACAATCGCAAACACGCTATACCGATAAAATAAATTGGTATTTTGATAGGTGCTGGCATCTATGCCATCAATTATAGGCGATAATTATCAAATATCTGATAAGACGCCTGCTTTTATTCTTTGATAAAGAATAAATGCTCACTAAAACTCAAAAAGCAACAGGGCGCAGGTGTAAGCGCTGTCAGACAATAGCAAAAATAAAAAATAAAATAAATAAATGTCGTGATCCTTCAGGCTATTGAACTTGTCTGCACACACATTTCCTATCAACGGGTACCTGCACTAAGTCGGTTCCGCAGGCGGCGAAGGGTCGCAGCAGAGCGAGCAGCAGGAGCAGCAGCGGCGGTGAGAAGGGCCTCATGACGCCGTCTATCCACGACACTGTGACCGCTCTCTGTGGATGTCTCCCAGCTTCTCCCTCCGGGGAAATAAACATATGTGGCAGGGGGCGGAGGGCTGACATGACGCCATCTGCTGACGGACACGGATAGTAGCCAAACATGAATTAATGAATGAATGAATGAATGAAGTTTTGGTTGAGATGATTTGGATAAAATAAATAAATAAATTAAAAAAAACTATTAATAGTAGTCATTTAAGAAACAGTGAAATTTAACTGTTAGTTTCTATGAGAGTTTGACCCAGTTTCTCTGATTGCAACATGCTGAGGTTTTTTCCCCCTAAACACAGCGGGTTTTTTCCTTTTTTTCTTTTTTCTTATTCATGGATCATTTCTCTTGTCTGGGATCAGCGGTTGTCATAGTGAGTTGCCACTCGACCATGTGTCCCGTGGGAAGTTGACAAGCCTCTTTGCATGCCTGTCAGAGCACCTCAGTGGCTTTATCTGACAACACAGTAATGGGAGAGATATCTCAACTGCCACTTTAAAAGGACAATGGAGAAGAACAGAGATGCCCCAGGCCAAGAAACTGTCTTAATGCTTTGTAGGGATAATGCTAAGTAAGATCTTGTTGCCAAAAAAATAGATGAGGGGTTGTGTAAATGTATAATTAATCATAAAAATTAAAATGTGTTACTTTTGAAAAATGTTATTTTAGTACCAGTTTTCAAAAACATTTAAACAGCAACTATACTCCAGAGTACCCAGAAAACCCACACCTGTCCAAATTGTGTGGAACTAGATATTATACTTTAATAATAATATCAATAAATTCAAGTGAATTAAATTAAGATTTGGTGGGAAAATTATGCTCGAAGCCGATCTTACAGTAGAAGAAGTGATTATTAAATATTTGCATTTCTGGGTTACCTGGCCTTCAGTGTGTTTATCCTCAACAAACTGTCGGTGTAGTTTTAATGTCCACCACTGGTGGGCAATGCTGAGCCGTTAGCCCTAACAGTGACAAATAGAACGCATTGGAACGGTCAGTGAGCCCAGCGACGCCGGTGAAAGATGGCGTCTCTTCTGCACCCAGATAGAGTGCTCTATCTGGTCCGTGGACAGAAAAGGATTAGAGCCCCCTTATCTCAACTTTATTTTTGTCGCTACTGTAGCGAGTTAAGGTCGCTAGAATGTGTGTCTCATGAGGTACGTTATTTTTTTTCCCTTCGATAGCGGGTAACTGCTTTGTTGTTAGCCGATCTGCCTGTCGCTGTGACAGAGGGGCGGGACTTGTTGACTCATCGCACAGATTGTATGGCTAAGCGCCTTGTTGTTCAACTGCTTTTCCTGCTTTTCCGTAATTTTATTGGCTGGACGGATTCACTTCCGTTAGAGTTAGCGTCATGTAGCCTAAATGGGCTAGGTAAGCTATACTTTAATCTTGATGTAAGACAATTTATATAACTGAAAAATATATAGCTGTAAAGAAGTGAACCCATTTATAATAAACGTTGGGCTGGCTTTGTTATCAGTTATGCCATCTTATTTAGCAAACGTAGCTTCGTAGGCCAATAGTTGGTAACACCACACCCAGAGACGCTACACTGCTTCACTCTTCCAACGCATCTTGGGGGTTTCTATACAACTATCTCATAACGTTTAATTTAAAAAACGCTGTCATTCCTAATAGCTAAATAAATATGCAACCTTTAACTATAGTTGATTTATTTTGTGGGGAAATAAATCCTAAGTTAGGAAGTAATTGTCTAACAATATCATTGATGGCACAACTATTGGTACCCCTACCGATTCCTTTATAATAATTGTAACTACATATTTATTATTTAAACTTTTGTAAGAACTTCTGATTAGTATTCTTTGACCAGTCATTTACCAGGGCTGTAGATATTACCTGACACTGCTTTTTTTTAATTGTTGCCTCCAAGTTGGACATAGACCAGTGTATATCTTGCAAACACACAGTGAGAAGAATTTTAAGGCATAGAAAACATATCTAAAGATGGTTCTTAAAGAACTGCTTCAGTCCAGTTAAACCCAAAGATATTCATAACTCTGGGAGATTTAAACATTTACTCTTTATCCAATCGTGAAGTTTGAAATTTAATTTCAGATTAGATGGATATCTCTCAAAATATAATAAAACAAATGCCATTAAAACATAAACATGTCCAACTTGTTAAACTAGGCTGAGGCTTAGTTTAGACTAAGATCAAGCGGTAACAAACTCCAAGTGGGTTTGGTATGAAGCAAAGGATGAACATGTGGGAAAGCACCTCATGACCACTGTTGGATGCTAGAAATTTTGGTTAAATTGTAAGAAATGTTCAAATAAGTGAATATACATGGATTTAAACAGTCAAGATGTTTATTTAAAGGTTGGAAGTTTTCTTAAAGGTTCATAAATATGGCAGGTACTGTACACAAAGTTCAAAAACAAATTACAACAATTGAGAATGATATTCTTGCTGAAGCTATTCACAGATAAACTGACCCCCCTGTTCTTTCTCTGACTCTGTTAATTAGGTGGACTCCCATTACTGTCCTAGTTGTCTGGAGAACATGCCGTCTGCTGAAGCCAAGCTGAAAAAGAACAGGTCACTGATCATCCAATACTTGTTCTACTACTACCAGTTATTTCTCTCTGGAAATGTATTTTGTTTCAGTCGTTGATCCAATTTTATCCCTTTGCTCTCATATAGGTGTGCAAATTGCTTTGACTGCCCATGTTGCATGCACACTCTGTCAACTCGGGCCACTAACATTCCAGCTCCTCTGCCTGACGATCCTACCAAGACAACGATGAAGAAAGCCTACTACCTGGCCTGCGGCTTCTGTCGCTGGACCTCCAGAGATGTAGGAATGGCTGACAAATCAGTTGGTAGGCGTTTTGTCCAATTTGCACATTAATGGGGTCACCATTTTGTTAGCTTTGGGGACACTAAACCTAAGCCAGCTGTAAATTTGCGTTATGACCACTTAAGTCTGATGTTTTGGAGCATTTTGTCTGTTGCAGCCAGTGGTGGATGGCAGGAGCCAGAAAACCCCCACGGTCAGCGGGTAAGTTGTACCCTGTGGTCACTTGAGTACTCTTGAGTTACTCACATGTTCCTTGGTCACACACTGCATTCGTTTGAATACTTCTCTGAGAAAGTTGCATCCACACATTTCATAGCCTGAGGCAAACGCAAACTCTGTTGCTGGGTTCTTAGGGTTCAGATTCAGCACAAATAACACATTTTTATTACTTTTCTATTTATTTACAGTGAACTTCCAGTCAGAGTGGGCAGTCACATGTTTTGTTCAGCTACAGAGACAGCTGTTACCAATAAGCTGTTAAAATCATATTAAAAGTTGTCAACTTATTTTTTTATTTTTTGTTTTTTTGCCCAGTAAAGGAGTTTAGCAAATGATCATAATCATTATTTGTCATGTGGATTTTTTTTTGGAAAAGTATATTTCCATCCAAGTTAGTTGTTTAAATATAGAAGGAAGCTGGGCTTGCAATACAGCAGATTTAAAATGGATGGTTCTCAAGCTGGAATCATCATTACAGGGTTTCTGTATATCCTTAAAAAAGTTTTACACAAATGTGTCTAAAATCAAGTCTTTAAAATGTCTTAAATTGTAGCTTTTTTGGCATCTGTCGTTGGTAAGTGTAAATGTGTCACCTGTTGGCTGCCTGGTCGTTTGTCTTTGCCACTGGCTCAGTGGATGCATTTTGTGTGTGTATATATATATATATATATATATATAAAACTGGGACTAATACAAAATAAAATATGCAATCTTCTTCTTCTGTACATCTAAAGTCCCAAATTAATCTTCTTTTGTAGATCTCTGTTGTGACACATGTTTAATGGTCTTAAAGAGTCTTAAATCTGCGTTGGTGAAAGCTGCAGAAACCCCGTGTTATGATCTTGAAAGCTTGTGTTTTGTTCAAAAATTCACAAGGAATATGGTGACCTGTCTGTGGATGACTTTTCGTTTGCCACAGATCTCCAAGCTGATTGAGTATTACCAGCAGCTCGCCCACCGAGAGAAGCAGGAGAGAGACAGGAAGAAGCTGGCAAGGAGACGACAGTGCATGCCCCTGGCATTCTCGGTACTCTGCTCCCCCTGAGAGAGCCGCTTTCACGCAACTCTCTCCAAAAATGTCACATCTTTTTCTTTAACCTTTTAAAATGTCAAGCGGCAGCGGTGTCATTTGTTTTGTACTCGCCGAGATCAGCAGCCATCTGCAAAGTTAAAGATCTGATCCACCGCGGCTCGGTCTCGGGTTTAGGAAAGCGGGTGTCGCTGAGTGCCAGCGTAGTTTTTATTAAAAAAAAAATAAAAGGAAGAATAGTTATGGTTGACCAGTGACTTTGTTTCTGTCTTTGATTGAAATACTGACGCTGTGTCCATCCATTTCTGCTGCTTTTCGTGACCGAGTATCAAAACAGCCTCCGGCTTGTCTGTGGTGATCAAATGGAAAATGTTTATGTTTGTCTACTCCTGCTTTCTGCTTTTAAAGCTAGCTACGTTAGCGCCCATTAACTCAAACCTGTGCTTCCTGTCGTATGTTGTAACCTCTCAAGATGTCCCGCGGTTCCACTTTGCCATCTGAAATGATCGTTTCTGTTGCAGTCGCATGTCACCAAATGCCATTAATGTTTTTGCTCGATTGCTTCGGTTTCACCTTCTCTCCTTTTTTGTTTTGTTTTTGTTTTTCCTTTGCTTATGCACTCTGATATTTTGGTTTTTACCCCCTCAAGCAACACACTATTCATGTGGTGGTGAGTTATACTTTCACAATTTGGGTAGTCTTGTCTATTACAGTTGCACTTTTATCTCTTTATTTGTTAACACTGTCACAGAGAGACCTCACAGATCACATGAATGTCTCCTTGGGTAAATTAAGCTTAGATTCACACAAGGGGAGCTTTATGTTTGCATCTTAACATCTGTTTATTTGGAAGGGGGGGTGGAAAAAAACATTTAAGCCTAATTAAGTCAAGAAATCCCCCCTCGTCTTTCTCCAGCTGCTCCTTTGTTCTGTGTTCCTTGTCTTTCACAACAAGATATAAAAACTCTCTCTGGCTTATTTATTGTCTTTAATGTTAAAAAAAAAAAATACTCCTTTCTGTTTTTGTTAAGAGCTGACATGGATTTATCTCTTAGAGGATTTGTCCTGTAGAAAAATAGCTGTATATTAATTTCATAAATCATTGTGAGTCCCCCGTAGTTGTCTTTTGGCAGTCTGCCTGATCATGTTTTTTTTTATTTTTTTTTTTTTTATCCGAATTCACCCAGGAAAAATACGGCCTTGGAACCAGACTGCATAGGCAGAGACCTGGAGCTCCAATAGCCACTCTGGCTGGACTTAGGTGAGTTATCTCTTATCAAATAGGATGAACGCTGCTACTGTACCATCCTGTAGTTAAACGTTTTCATAATTGTATGACCTCAGGGGGGATCGTTACGATTCTGCTCAGTAACTACACTCGTATGTCCCCCCCCCACATCATGACGACTGAGACAAATGTTTTACCTTTCAGCAACGTTGGTTTTAGGGCTGAAACAATTAATCGTGATGAACCAATTATTCAAATAATTGTCAATTAATGTAGCAATTGATTAATTGTAAATGAAGTATACAGACGTATAACAAGATAGATTTGCCTGGTTCAAATTCACTAAAGGAATGCTATCTTATTGCGTTTTAAGTAATAAAATGTTTATCGTCTTATTTAAAAAAGGAATTGAATCATTTCTGTATTTGCATCTTTTAAATGAAAACATGCAGAATATGCCAATTATTTTTTTTTATCCGATTAATCTATTAATCGTCAGAATAATCGAATAGAATAATCAATTACTTAATCTTTAGTTACAGTTCTAGTTGGTTTGATTATTTTATCAGCCCTTTCAACATAGTCAACAGTTTATCACCCTTATATCCAGCATCACCTCAGGAAACACAGTTACAACTTAACTTAATAATTAATTACTAACTGGTTGGGTAAAAGCTAGTAAACCAGCTTTTACTGGTCATACTTTCATTATATGGTAAATTTTTACATTTGCCAATTGGCTGAAACGCCCCAACACATAATTGGGAGCAGAAGTGGCTCCATCATTATGACTAACCTGAGCCTTCGACAAACCCTTCACCGCTTTGAACTGAAAAGGTTATTATGGGGCTGCAGGATGAGTTTAGTGTTGTCAAATGGTACAAAGTGGGGAAAAAACAAAAACAAAAAAAAAAAACAGGAGCTACAGCTGTTACCCAACAATCTTTTAATATAAGTCTTGTCAATATGTCCTGTTATTTGCACTCGACAACTTTTAAGTGTATTTAATGCACTCAATGTGGCCTGCATAAGCAACATGGTGCAGAGCCCAGCCAGATATTGGCAAAATCCCAAACACAAAGTATTAGCTTGGTGCCTATTTTGTCAATTCATTGTATCGGCTTCAGTTCTTCGTAAAGGACGGGATCAACTCTAGTGGACCGTGTGCAGAAAACTAAAGTTCTTCGCACCAACTTCGCTCATCCATTGCATTACTTTGCTCAAAGTTGCGCAGTGTTGTTGGAACAGGAAGTGGCCACCCTCCAAAAGTGTCCAAAAAGTGTGGGTATGTTGAGGCATTGATTTCACTGGAACCTAATGGGCCAGAAAACGGCCCATAATCCCTTCTGCACCAGACCTTTCCTTTCTGTCACCACAGCTAGCAAACTGCAGGGCGTTGAGTGCCGTTTTCCTGGCAACTGCTAAAGCCAGACTCATTCATTGGATTACCAGATGGAGAGGCGCAATCAGTCTTTTCACAGAGCGCATCTCTGTTGCTCCAGTGTCCAGTAGCTGTGGGACTGACATCACTGCGTTCAAATGGTTCGCGTCGTACTTGGCGGCGTACAGCCCATAATCCGGCCGGATCGGGTTGCACGATGTGAAAGGACAAAGTGTTCTGTAATGAGGGGCTTATGGTTGTGTGTTTAATTCAGAGCTTTGATATGAAAGGGGATGAAGCAGGCGTGTCCAAAATGCAGCTCAGGGTCTAGTTTTGACGCTTGGAATTATTTTGTACAGCCTCCCTGCATAATTGTATAATGATACAAGTTTCAAAAAAGAGCGAGCAAAGTCCGGTTGACGTAGCTAAACCACAAGACCAAAGTTTTCTACTTTGGTTTATTTGCCAAAGTAGAAAACAATCAATCAAAATTAGGAAACTGTGTGTATTTTTAAGTATACAAAGTAGGAGGACCCATTGTCCATGCTGCCACCCTTCTGCCGTAAATGAATTAATGATTATTGGGCATCTGCAGGACCTGTTGACCTACTGAGGAGGCTCCGCAAGCATTTAAATCGTCTCTGTTGGAGCAGAGATGCATCCAAAACCTGAAGGACCAAGACTGAAAACCACTCACCAAGAACCTTTTGAACTTTTCATTTGTTTAACCAGCATTGAGCAGCAACAAGTGGGCGAGGGGCAATGGCAGATTTATTAAATTTTTGCCCCTTGAAGCCACTCCAGTGATTCCTCTGGCATCGCAGCAACTCAGGACTATTAATTTGAAACTGCGATAAAAATATTTTAGCTGTTTTCAAACGTAACGTTTGAAAAGTTCGACCCCTATCTTGCTTAAAGGCTTGTCGGCCTAAAACGTTTGTGTCCCTACAGTCAAAAACCGGTTTGTTTCTTATCGGTGTTTGAAATAGTTTTTGTACCTCTATGTCTCGTGTCTTGATATGCAGTAAGTGCTCCCTTGGAAGAGAATCAACAAATCACCTGTTTGTGTTTCTTAATCAGCCTTAAAGAAGGTGAGGACCAGAAGGAAATCACAATCGAACCCGCTCAGGCCCTCGACGAAGTGGAGCCCCTGCCTGAGGACTGCTACACCAGACCCATCAGTTTACCCGAAGGTAGGATTTTTGTCGAGAAGCGTCTCTTGATTACCTTGCGACGGTTGCTGAGGAGAATCTGTGTGTGTGTGTGTGTGTGTGTGTGTGTGTGTGCAGTGACCACGCTGCGCCAGCGGCTGCTGCAGCCAGACTTCCAGCCTGCAGGAGCTTCTCAGCTCCACCCCAGACACAAACACCTCCTGATGAAGCGCTCGCTGCGCTGCAGGGTCAGTACAGCTCCGCTATTTTTCACGGCTCTCTTAAAGCCTTGTTTATTTTTTCTTTAGGGGACGAGGGATGGCTGATCTAATTTGTAAAACGTTGTTTTTCTTAATTACTTTCCTCAGAAATGCGAGCACAACCTGAGCAAGCCAGAGTTTAATCCAACTTCAATCAAGTTCAAAATTCAGCTGGTGGCTGTGTGAGTAGTTGTCGGTGTGTGTGTGTGTGTGTAGTAAATCAGCCTCAGGCCCGATTAGGCTAATCTGGTTGAAAATTGATTTTGCAGCCGTAAATACATGTTCCAGCGCGTGGGTTTAAAGAAATATTGTTCTGGAAATTAAACAAATTTCAGCTCTAAATACTGGATTAAAGTCAGGCAGAAACGATTTGGTTACAGTTGAGAAAATTGAATTAATAATTAATAATTTAACAGCTCAGCGACCTGCGAATTGTTAACAGAGTTTGGCTGTCGGTGAAGTTGTTGCTCTGCTTTCCTCCGTCAGGAGCTACATCCCTGAAGTAAGAATAATGTCCATTCCAAATCTCCGATACATGAAGGTCAGTTTCTGCCCCTTGGTTTTGTCCATCTGCATCACATTCTTAAGAAAAAAAAAAAACCAAACAAACAAAAAAAAAACATTAGTTTCTCAGCTAATGCTGTCAGGGTCCAGAAACTGTAAACCAGCCTGGATCACCTCTATCATTACATGTGAAATAATGAAAAGTTTCACCTGTTTGTTTTTTTTTCTTTTCTTTTTTTTTTTCATTTGTGTTGCGTGTTAATGATCAATGTTGATAGAATTGTGATCTTTTTATGATTTTGTTTCTCATTTAACATAAGAGATGCAGGGAAACTGAAACACAGCCTTATTTAAAACCTGCACACTTGATACTGTTATGTTACACAACAAATAAGTTTAAAAGCAAGTTATCTTCAGCACAAATTCACTGGTTAAGAACATGTTTGCCTGGAAAAATGTGGAACATTTCCTTTAGCAAACTGCTTGAAATCAACTTTGATGATGAGAGACATCGTATTGGAGCCGGTCAGCGACATTCACCTTTCTTTTCTCTTTGCTGTTGGCGTAGGAGAGTCAGGTGCTGCTAACCCTGACCAACCCGGTGGAGAACGTTACTCATGTCACACTGGCTGTTTGTGAAGACGACGATCCTGATGATGTCAACAGCACTTCCAAGGTACGTTTTGATTCTGCTGTCGCCAAGTTGTTTTAATGGGTCTGAAACTGCTAGATGTGCCGAAGTTACGTAAAATGTTCTTTGTTGCTGTGTTGAAATATGTTCAGCAAGAATTTATACAGTTACTATAATTATTAAAAGGACAAATACCCGGCCTTTTAAAACGTCCTTCATTGTTAGAAGCTCAGATTTTTTTATTTATTTTTTGTAATTTAACATTATGAAGTGTACATTTAAAGAACACCCCCTTTTTTATTTCACTGGGAACATTTATGGAAAGTTTTATTATGTTTGAAACTTGTTTCCTGTGCAGGTTCTTGTTCCCAGTAAGGAACTGGTCTTGGCAGGGAAGGATGCTGCAGCTGAGTACGACGAACTGGCAGAGCCTCAGGACTTCCAGGATGATCCAGAGTGAGTAAACGAAACTGATCTCTCACACACACACACGTATACACACTCACTGAATCAATGCAGAACCCTCAAACTTATCTCTGTCCCTTTTTTCTCCAGCATCGTCGCCTTCAGGAAGTCCAACAAGATTGGTTTCTTCATCAAAGTGGTCCCTCTGAAAGAAGAGGACACGGATGTCACCGTTTCATTTCGGATGCGCCACGACTTCCGTAACCTCGCAGCTCCCATCCGGCCGAGCGAGGAGGGGGGCGACGCTGCTCACGAGGCCGTTTGGCTCACTCATCATGTAGAGCTGAGGCTGGGGCCGCTCGCTCCCTGAGTGCAAATAAAATCCTTTAGCGTTCGCCAACTAGTCTCTTTAAACTCGCGTTCGTTTAGGGGAAGCCGACGGAAAGTTGCTTTTGTTTTAATCTTACCCGACGTCACCAGTGGCGGCACAATAACCGTCGTCCGCGTCTTCGCTCGGGCGTTAAATTATAGGAAACTGTTGTTGACTGCTGCATCGGTTCCATCTCTTTTTAAATGATTGTTGTGCTGCTCCACGGCAGGTTACATTTCACTACATCATCCTTTCTCTGCCGAAACACTATACAGTCTATTAGTACGAAGCAGCTTCTGTGTGGGAGGTTAGGATGTATTGATGTTGTGCTTACAGTGTTTTCTTTATTTCCTCTGTCTGTCCGGTTATAATTCACCGTAGCGCCGAGGAGGTGCGAACTATTCGGACCGGAACCCCAGCGAGCAGAATCACGAGAGACGAGAACAATCCGAAAGAGTCGCCGCCTCTGCTCCGTTTGTTTATGCGTCTTTGTCAGCATCATTTTCCGCAGACCGTAGTTTTCCATTTGCTTGCATGCTTTATCTATATGAAATACAGCAAACGTTGACGTCTTCACGCTCCGCACTCTCTCAACACACCTGCCTATATATTTTTGCTGCTGTACAGGAATCTATTTAAATCACTTCTCACACAATAACCACTTTGCATTTAAGGTTTACTGACTAAAACGTCTCGGCGCATTTAGCAGCTCATTGAACGCGCACACGGGCTATTAATCTGAGATCGCCTCCAAGTTTATGCGCCCGGATCTATCCGCCATTTTACAGGACTGATTAAAGGTAGCCTCGTCTCTGTTGCCCACCGTCAAATGTAACTGCCTCCATTAAACTAAGGGAAGGTCGGGGAAAATAGTTTTAGGTACAAAAAGCTCATCATGTATTTGTACTTGAAAACTTTTCCTCCTCTTGGTTGGCAAGCGTTACTGGCAGCCCTGTAAGTGGATGTTGTGCAAAACTGTCCCATGTGTTATCCTTTGGGGGAAAAAATAAAATAAAATAGAGTTGTACATCAATTAATCTGCACTACTGGCTAATAAATTAGTAACATGCTGTAATGGATCTGTTTGCTTTTTATGGTAACAGTTAAATGCGACTTACATTATTTAATCAGGTGCTCTTTTATTTTTTTCTATGGATTATCTCCGCACACGGTGCGCACAATAAAATCATTCGACCGGAATTATGAAGGATGGAGCTTCATTAATTACTGCTCACTTTGTTTTTGCTTTCAATTAATTTCAGAGAGCGAGAGAGTGGTGCACCTTGAGCTGCCTGGCTCCTAAATTGGAAAAGTCTCACTTCTTTTCATTGCCAAATATTCATCAAAAGTTTCCCCAATTTTCATTTGTACATAGATTTCTTATGCAAGAAAAAAAGCAAAAGTATGACACTTTAAGTATTTAAAGTGTCAGAAATATGGAAAAAAAAATATATATATTTCTAGACTTTTTCCTCCTGGCCAGTACTCCTTGAATCCTTACAAATATTTTCCGTTTCTTCCCAGACAACATTTTACAAGCGAGTCCCAGGGATCGTCTTTGGCCTCCTGTTAATTTCCTGTTGTAGATGTGATGCATGCCTTTGGTTTAAAAAAAAAAAATTAGCTGCACGGGTTCAAAATGTGTTGCTCAGTCTGAGCCGATGTCTCTGACTGAGAATCAGCTCATCTTGCAAATATGGATTGCATTTGGTCAAACCACACAGTCCTCCCTATTGTGAGATCAGACCCACTTAGGACCCATTTAGCCTGAGTTAAAGCCTTATTGAGCCCAAATACAGATGTTGGGGTCGGTGGGGAGGTCGAGCCATCCAGAATCTACTGCACACCTTTCAGATCAGTCTGGCTTTAAATGTGGAATCCAGAATACGAGGAAGGACAAATTAACGGATGCAACTTTTGCACTAATGATAACGTTTTTCCGTGTTCCAGTCTCTTTTGTGAAGCCCATCCATTCTTTGTCTAACCTGAGTGAAGTTGCCGCCCCGTCTGTGCTGTTGTAATTAAGATTTTGCAAAAAAAAAAAGTCTCGATCAGCCTGCTGCCCGCTCCTCTAACCCATTAACAAAATGAAACAAAAGTGATATAAATTAATTCTGCAGCTAAATTTTTAGTTGCTCAGCTGATTGAGCACAAGTTAGATTTTTTTTTTTTTTTTAATTTGTGGTGGTTGATCTTTGATGGCCTCTAGAAACATTTCTCAATCATATTACAAGATTTTGCAAAATGTATAGGAACTCTGACTCTACACTTTTAAACAGTAAGTCAGCGCTTTGAGAGTTTTCAGATTTAAGTTTATTTTTTCTGTTCAAGTTAATCTGAGAAGCTGAGTTCTCTCGTATGGCTTTTGTTAAAAGAGGAAAGAGGAAGAAACTTCAGTTGATGATTTTCCCCACAGGATGGCGCCACAGGCAAGCAGATTTTTACACTGCAGACATAAACGTAGTGGAGCTTAGAGAGGATAGAAGCATCTAAATCCAGCCTTGAGTTTTATTTTGGGTTGTCCATGGAAAACAGAACAATGAGTTCTGACAAACACTTAAAATCCGACCTTTTCTCTTCAAGGTTTGAGTCAGGAGAGCAAAATCTCTGCATCAGAAGCAGAGGCTAATGATTTTTTTTCATTTTTTTTTTTCAGCAGGTATCGTTTTCTTCGTTTTCTTGCTCTACACTTATCAGCCCCGTTCAGGGGGATGATCTGCACACACGCTGTGGTGTTTTTTTTTTTTTTGAAAAGGCAGATCAGATATTGTGAGTTGCAGGTGTGTTGGCGCTCCCCACTGAGGCCCTCTGCTTAGTAAACACACCCAGTGGGTCTAGGTAATAAAGCCATGATTTTCTTTTATCTTTAGCACATATAAACTACCCCCCAAAAAACGGGGACGGGGGTGGAGGGACATCACAGAAGCTACAAATCACCACAGAAGATGAGATAATGAAGAACACATGGGGCGAGTCCACAGCAAAACAACCCGGACTCCCTCATCAAACCGAGCCGATGATGGCAGTAGCTTAGCGCACAGCAGTCGTGCTAAACACGACCTTCTGGGCTGCTGCGGCGCAGCTGACAATATTTTTTACTTTATAAGAAGAAGATGCAGCGTTTTGCTTGGTGGGCCTGTACGCACCATAATTTCATTTAGCTCAACAGAGAGAGGCAATGAGAAATAACTGGACTGCGTGTGGCACGTTGCGATTTGTGCATATAACTGTGTCATGAGCAGGCCCCCAAACCCCCCCCCCCCCCCCAAAACCCATCTGCAAGACAAATTCCTGGCTTTCCCCCAGTCGGATTAAATATTTTCCTGGATGGAGACGGGAATAATTTCCCATACGCCACGGCATGCTAAAAACCGTTAGCAGGAAGAAAAAAAAAACATACCTTTTTCTACAATATGAAGACAATTCTATAGATAAACTTGATGTTTTTGCGCTGAATCACACAAAAGAAGTCAAACCTCTTAATCTTTTTCTAATTTTTACTTCAAATGTTTTGTCAGGATTTTTTGGGGATAGATCCAACATACAGTAGGAAAAGCCTGTCTCAAAAGTAACTGTGTTACCAACTGAGTCCATATATCTCCTAATTGGTAACTAGAGTCCAAACGGCATCTGGAAGATGAAGGAACACAGCCGGCAGATCAGAGGTAAAGTTTAAATCGGAGTCTAAAAAACAATTAAACTTTCCACCATCTTCCATCTGAAGATGGAAGGAGTAACGACTGCAAACCTACCAAGGCTTGGATGTCCACTTAAACAGACAGGCTTGGGAAATGAGAACATTAATCGCAGAAGCAGCCAAGAGGCTTATGGTAGCTCTGGAGGAGCTGCAGAGATCCACACTTCAGGTAGGGGGATGCAGAGAGAACTGCGTACGGACCGCAAACATTTGGATTCTCAAACATGCTCTCCATTGAGAAATTCCGCTCGAGTGATATTGAATAGAAGTGAAGAAATGGTAGAAAAACGCTTCAAAAGACTTGCAGATGCGATTGCACTAAAAGTTGATTCTCCAAATTAGCGACTAATTACAAATCCTTCCGACACGCAGCATTTGTTGTAACGTGAGAAAAATGGAACATTTCACAGCACGTGAATACTTTTTGCACTCCGAGTTATCCAACGGCGTCTTCACTTCACACCACTTTCTGTTTTCCCAAGACTAACTTGTTTATTTCTGAAGACATCCGGCTTTGGCCGGATGAAAGCTTTCCTACCGGATTACTAGTCTGACTGCACCCAGGATCTTTCCGCGATTACATCATCACGCAAACCACCAGTAAAACTCACCCAAAGCGAAATGAGAGAAAAGCACCACCTCAGCAGAGACAGGAAATCCCCTCCTTTTAATGAAAAAAAAAGAAAAGAAAAAGATCATATTTTGATTCCTATCAGACACAGACAGTATGCAGAAAGGTTTGTTTTCCCCATCAGGTCTGTCGGGTGGATTATTACCACTAATGTAATCCTCAGAAGGATCTCCCGTTTTTGCCTTCTACAATGGTTTGGACACATTCCTGTTTCTGGGCATGTCATCAAGGCAAAAAAACAAAGAAAAAGGAAACCTAGTAGCTCTTCAAATTCACGTCTCCCGTTTTTTTTTTTTTTTTTTTTTAGGTTGAGTTGCAGGCCTGGAGGTGCTCGGAGTGATTAATCACCTCCTTCATTTTCTGCTCACCAGACCATCATCTGGTTAATTAGTGGTAATTGATGGTGTCTGCCCAGATGAATAACTGCAGGCATGTGGGTTTCCAGAGCTGCGAGAGCCAAACTTGTGAAACCTTAGCTTTTCAAGAGGAAGGGTGATAAAAAAAAAAGTCCACTTTTCATCCAGATTTTCCCTCTGTTTCCTCTCGCTGCATTGTGATGGCTGCTGGTTGGTTGGTTGGAATGTTGATTTTGGATGCTGCGATCATAAAATTTCGCTCTGAGAAAAACGGCTGACCCTGGACGCTCGCTCTGAAACCCCGCCTGACTCAACTGACAGAGACGCCGCTCTCGTCTGCGCTTTC